TCCTCGCTCTACAAAACGCTGTAAATACCGCCAAAAACTGCTACTTTGCAAAAGTGAACAAGGCATTTCAATCCCCGACGTTCGGCAAACAGAAGCTGTCTCCTCCCCCCACTGTGGCAGACGGCCCAACCATCGCTCCTGGCGCAGCTCGAGCTTGACTGCCAGTTCGGCGATCTTTTCCTATCAGCTGGCAGAGACCTCATCGCCTCAGGACTAGCTTGAGCCAAGGATCGTTTTGCTCGCGCAGCCGCTTGACCCAGGCGAGGCGCTCGTTCAAGCTCTCCATATCCATGAAAGCCATGCATCTGCATCTGCAGCATCATGATGATATTCGTCACTTTGCATCCCCTGCATGTCAAGTCGGGTCATGATGATGATGATGATGATGATGATCATGATCATGATCATGCTGATGATAATCATCACTACGCATCACCAGCATCACCAGCAGTTGTCATGCCGCATCCAGTGCATTTATAGTCGGGTCTAACGGCACACTTGAAACCCAACATCAGTGATGCTGATAATCATCACTATGCATCCGTAGCATCGCCAGCAGTCATGAAATCCTCACTTTGCATGTCAAGTTGATGATCCTGATGATCCTGATGATTCTCATGATCATCACCACGCATCCCCAGCATCACCAGCAGGTATCGTGAGGACATCCTGATGATAATCATCACCAGTTATCAGAACAATCATGGCTACGGATCACCTGCATTCCAAGTCGGGCCTAACGGCAGACTTGAAACATATATGAAGACAGAAGAACGATGATTATCCGGATGCTGCGAACCATCACCCAACATCAGTGGTGATGATAATCATCACGAAGACAAGGACGAATACAAACCCTTCCCATGCGCCTCCCTTTTGGAGAAGGGGCCGGCGGATATAAATAAATAAATATATATATAATACACAAGATTGGTTCATCCGGGGTCGACTCAATAGTTCAGCAGCACCCTTTTTCCTTCTTGGTTGGTGGGTTCCCCACTAAAACAAGCCGTCCCCAAAAAGCGACCAGTCCCCTTTTTGTACTGTTCGGGTCACTGGTTACACTGGGACACAACTAATTCATTTCTTTATCGAACAGTCACATCCATTACATTATTAGTATGTGATCTACTAGTATGCTCATCCCCAACAGTGACATCCATGAACTAACTCTTCATCGAACTTTATTGTGAAAACTTCTTTTGAGCATCGGACCCAAACCAATTGCTTTCGGCCAGGAGCCCAACGGATGACATGGGTACGCAGTGCCTTCCATCTATGTCTATGGTGCGCACGACCACTTGGGTGTGGGTCAAAATTAAACCACCAGGGCACAGCAGGTTGGAGTCCTTGGTTCCATTTACCAGGGCAAGCCATTTGGGATACCTATTTCTGACCCACAACCACTTATCTATACCCAGGACTACCCTACCATGGCTGGATTCACTAGGCAGGTTAGGTCGCCTCAGGCTGGACCAAGACCTGCCGCTGGACGCTGCGTCCGGACTCGCAGCTGGACCCGCTGAGGCGATTCGACCGTCTGGGTTGCTTCGGTTGGTCCGCTGGCTCCCGTTGCTGGGATGTACTCAGGGAAGACTAGCGAAAAAAAGAAAGAAAGAAAAAACAAAAAAAATGACCTGGTTTTGCCGAAAAAACTCAAGCAATGAGCCGACAACATCTGCTGCAAGTAGATTGCACAAGGTGGATTTCAGGTTCCAGACCAAGGAGCTCCCCTAAGGGAAGCCAAAAGGAGGTATGCTCAAGAAGATAGCCACATGGGTTTGACAGGCAAAGCCCGCTCCCAAAATCCCAACCCAGACCCAACCCGCAAGCCTTGCGATTCCTGAACATGGAAGGAAAAGGGCGTCCGCCTCTAGCTCCTTCTACGTGTTCCGATCGACTCCTCGGATTTGATGGGGACGCATTTAGTGCACCCTTGGCCCCCGTCCATGGCCCGTCCATGGCCCGGGCAGATTGCCGAACCGGGATCTTTCCAGACGGCAGATTTGAACTCCAACCGGTTTCAGTGCCAGGCAGTGCGACCAAGTGTATGGTTATGTACAAGTACAAGGATTGTGCAGGTGTACTGCATATATCTATATATATGTTGATATACGTATGTATACATTCATATACATACCGCATATGGATATTCACTGTGTACCTTGAGACACTACGGTTGTGCTATCCTTTCAGGTGCGCGGTGAGTGTTCTCAAATAGTCTTGATTAGTGCATCGATTTATGCATTTTTCCAGGTACCTTAAGCATAAAAGTTGACCTTTTGTATGCTGATAGCCTCTACCCTTCTCCAGACCAAATGTCGCCACATTGGAGCCTTGAGCTGACGACCTTGGCTTTTCTCTTTCAAGGAACTTGCGGCCGCACATGGGTGCCAAGTTGGCCAAACAGACCACCGCAACTGACAAAAAGACCCCTCCGGGAACAGGTGCACAAAGCAAAAAACTCGAGGTTATCCAAATCTGCACTCTCCCCTCAGTCCAGGAACATGTTCATGAATGCTACTCAGATGGGCTTGAGCTTAGACGTGGCTGAATGGTGCGATTTGTGCCCATGGCTTGCCTGGCGATTCACAAGTAAAGCTGTGGCTTGCTCACCGCTGAGTTATCTAAACCACCGGCTGGAACTCGCGAGGGAAAAAATGTAACCTTTGAGTTGAACAGGGGGATTTGTCTCAAAATAGGGAACCTGGGTGTGTCTCTTATGCGAGGGTACCTCGTTTTTGGTGGTTTTCAACGGGAACCAAAAGGACAGTCTCGGAGAAATTGAAGTTTCTTTGTGCCGTCAGCATTTGGGCTCTTTCCCGCCAACGCACGGGGATCGTGGACCCACAGTGATCCTTGGCAATCATGGACCACCACTTCGACCTCGTTGTGAAGAACACCTTTTACACAGTCGAGATCGAGGACACTGGTGCAATCCCCACCCAAGGAATCTACGCAAGGCGACAGGAACAAGTTACTCACCCAGAAAACCAACACACATGTTCCACCAGTTGTTAGTGAATTGAATCATGTAGCCCTCCATGGGCCCTTTCCCACACAATACTCCCCGGTGAATTCGAGTTGAAGCATTTCGCGGGGGATCCCGCTGGTGGGGATCTCGCTAGGCCATCTCCGGATCTCCCGAAGGAAACCTGGGGATAGTCCCTTCCTTGGTTTTCACCAGGACCAGGGAGAGTTCGCAAAACCGTGTTGTAGGGATCAACGCGTTGTCTCAAGCATACTCTGGAAATTACAAGAAGAAACCTTAGCATAGCGTGTTCTGGGCTACTATGCCGACAATGTTAGTTGTTTTTGTTTATCGCACATAGACTGAACAGGAAAGGCAAATTGTGTTTTCTAGGTAGAATGCGGATCCTCTCCAGCCACCAAGTGTGCCCTTTTCTGCGAGTTGGTTTCAAAGCACCACACCTTTCCACCAAAGGCTGCTAAGACGAGGGGCTTGGTGTCCTTGAATGGTTGAACATCGATGGATTGCACTCAACGTGCGTCGAATAGTTTGCTTCCGTTTTTCCGGAATGACACCTAGAGTTGCTCGCGTCTACTTGCAGTTGGCCTTGGAGCTCAGTCAAGAGGCCGCAAACAGGCTGAGTGTTGCACAGCTCACCTTGCTGTGGCCACTATTGCCAACTAAGCTATAAACTCATAACATAGTACTCCCAGGAATCGCCCTAGCATGAACATGCGTTCCCAATAGAAGAACCGCCCCTGATTAGTATGGTCTGCGTCGGATCAGTCTGAAGTTAAAACCGCCACGATTCCTGGGAGCTGCAATGCAGGTTATGTGCCATGCAAGTTATGTGCCTTGCAGTTTATGGGCCATGCAGACAGCCAGGGACCCTCTTTTGCTTTTGAATCCTTGCATGCAATCCTTGTCCCTATGCTCGCTTCTGATGACAGCAAGTGATGTGCTGGCCAAGTCCCCACAAACCTCCACCCATGAACTGATTTACCTGGATGGTTAAAAGTTATGATATGTTCCCCATTTTTGGGGCCCAGTACACATGGCGACCCAGATGGGCTACTGAATTGAGTGAACAGGTAGCTTTGCCCATGTCCCTGGGCACATAGCAATCTCACAAAGGTTGCCAGTGTCACCCCTGAAAAGGGTTTGTTCAAAGCATATTCCTTTGCGGATAGGTGAAGCATTTCATTCGAGCTTCTTTTTGTTGTTTGTTGCACTTGTTTCTATCAGTGGGGCCGGGACTATTTCCAGGCTTCCTAGAACCTGGATGTGTCGTCTCTTGACATGTCCTATTCCAAACAGTTTTTGACTTGGGTTCTTTTGCAGTCAGAATCCGTTCAACACAGACCAGCAAAATCAGCCGAATGTTTCCTGACATGAAAATTGCGTTGCTGCCCAATATTTGCCAGTCGAGCCAAAATTGACATGAGGAATTGCTCAAGTCCGAATGCCCCGCAGTTTGGCCTCAATTATCCAATGCGAGCATATGCGAGCAACGTGTCCGGAGGATGAACACCTGATTGCTCTCGTCTTAGTTCGTTAGTTGCACCCAGAGCGTGACCATTCGGAGTAACACAACTTCCCCGGTGAGGGTTTTTCTCTTGCAACCAAGTACAACTTGACAATTGGTTTAGACACCACACATGCATTTGTCTCTCAACAAATCGGACTTCTTTCAGGTACAAGCACGTATTTTGGTGAACCACTTGTTCCAGTGAACAACTTCACTTTCCGATTTGTTTGCAAAGGTCGAACCAGGATATTGTCTTTTGGACCAAATCTTCAGGCAATATCCAAATCTTGTCTTCTGCACAAGATCCAAGAAACTCCAAAAGCATCGCCTTTGTGTTTCTTTATTTTGTCCAAGAATGGAAGAAATGAGGGAATGAACCTGTGGGGATTCCCTCAAAGGAAACCACCAGGGATGGTTTATCGTTTTATAGGGCCATTTCTCATTCCCGTGGCATCGCTCGCGGTTCGTCCGCCCAAAAAAGGCGGGCGCTGTGTCGCCAGGATGCGGCGTCGCCCGGGCTCCGGCGCCAGGAGTCCTCGCCGGCGATGCTGTGCCGCCAGGGGGAGCCTACCTTTGCCATGGACAGGAGCGCGAGACGCCCCCAAAACTGGCGATCGATCGGGCTCCTTTTGGTGGTTTTGGCAGGAAAATGGAGGGGTTTCGATGCCTGGTTTACCTGGTGGTTTTTTTCTCATCTACCAGGGAAACCCATCTAATTCCCCTGATAGGACACCTATGCTTGCGATCGATCGGTGCGAGAGATGCCACGGGAATGAGAAGAACCATCCAGGTGGGTCACTTCTTGCGAAATCAAGTTGTTTTTTCACTAAACCCACAAAACGTGAAACTTTTTGCGGAGGGGTGAGCAAGGGAATGAGAAATGGAGTCTGACCCCGAGAAAAAAACCATACTGGTGCTTTTCTTCAAGGGAATCCCTGGGTTCATTCCCACTATCCCTGCTGAGAACCAGCAAGAAAACCCTGCATCCAATAGTTTGCTTTAGCGTTGAATCAAAGGATGGGTTTGTTCAGTGGAAAAAGCAGGGGTGTCAGGCCGTTCCTACTGCCGATGCCCTTCTTTGGCTATAATACTACAGCTTTCTGAAAACAACAGCTGTGGTGCCTACAAATCATTTGCAACCTGTTTGAGGAACCCTAGGAAGATCACTTTGGAGGCAGGTTTGCCTTCTAGACTCCCAAATGTGTGGAACGTGCGAATGCGAGGAGTAAAAAGGGGCGGCCCCCGTCAACCCAGTACTTCCTATAGCAATACCTATAGTAACAGCCTAAAGCCCCATGGTAGGAGGTGATGGGCTATCCAGTTTCCATGCAACCCACATCCAGGAGCTGCAAGAATGAGGCTGCCGAAGTTTCCAGCCAGGAGGACTTAAAGAAGCGACGTGAAACCGCGAAGGGCGTGTCGTTCTTGGAAGCCAAGCTTGGGGGTTGTTCCTTTTTGGAACAAGAAGTATGTGTACAACCGGCGAGGGACCAGCCCCTCCGGGATTTTAGAAAGGGAAACCACAAAGGAAACCACCCTTTCCGTTAAGATAAACCGAAGGTATGCTAAGTTTCGAAACAACCTTTCAGGGGCTAGACAGGGCGCCGCAAAGATGTCATTGAAGAGGGTGGGGGTTTAAATTCAGTCGCCAGGGCGGTTTCTTAGTGTTACGGCAGGTATTTTTTGCTGAACGTGGATGCAAGGGGCCAAGGGGCAAGGGCAAGTGCTTGCTGAGTCTCCTCCCTACCCCATGAAGGCAGATGTGACTCCTCTTTTTGCGGGGTTGTCCAAAATAGACCCACCAAAGCAGCACCAAATCCTGGGAAAACTCTCTGACTTGGAAAAACAACCGCTGCCATAGATGGAGCAAGCTGAGTTTCCCAGCCATCCGCCCTTCATGGGACCGCAGGATATGCACCCCTTCTCGGAGTGGTTGAGGATCCCTTGAAGACCGGTTAGGTGGGGCTACAGTGTTGTGCAGCAGCAGATGCCTTGGAACGTGGCAGCTCTCCACGTGGCCGAACAAAACCAGCACGACGGATTCCCAATTAGGCAGCAACAAGTATGACCCGGTTTTGGCAGGTGGTCAGAGAGCGAGAGAGAGACGGAGGAAGAGAGACAGAGAGAGAGAGAGAGAGAGTGAGAGACAGAGAGACAGAGACAGAGACTGAGACAGAGAGAGAGAGAGAGACAGAGAAACAGAGCCAGAGAGAGAGACAGTTGTGCCCGTGTTCTTTTGTTTAGCAAGGGTTTTCCTCAAGAACCAATTGCCAAGAACATTTTTTCCCATGAACATTCGCAAGTTTAAACTACCCTCCTGGAACTTGCAGAAGGAACATACGAGGCTGTCCCTGACTACAGCTGTTGCCTTTCCTGAGCAGTTCTGTTTGGGAGAGACACGTTCGGTTCGGCATCTTGGGGTTGCCCATCAGCCAAATGTTTTGGAATCCCTCCCATCGCTGGTGAATTAGTCAGTGACTAGGGAAAAACCATGTGGGTGTGCCTCTTTTTAGGGGACACTGGTTTTCAATCTTTCTTGAAAGAAAAACGGAGACCCCGCCCCTCACCCCCCCCCAAAATAATAATAATAATAATAATAATAATAATAATAATAATAACAATAATAACAACAACAACAACAACAACACACAACCACTACATCCCAGGGAGCACCCCTTCTGAAAAAAAATCGGCCATGTAAAACCTAGTACCGAGAAGGCTTACTTTGTGTCTGCACCTGGGCCTTGTCCCTCGCAGGATATGGCCTCAAGCACCACAGCCTCCCATCATGAGTTTTGGGACCCGGAGGAGACAAGGACCTCTTGACATGTTACGCCTCGTTTTGTGTCTTCCGTTGTTTTCTTCTTTCTTTCTTTTTTCCCCAACAGCTGAAAGCTTTGGGGTCTTAGCCCAGATAGGCTCCGGGGTGGTCCGGGGCGGCCCGGAGGTAAGGTTCCACGAGGGTTCCACGAGGTTCTGCGAGGTTCTGCGAGGGTTGCGGGGTGGTGCGAGCACTAAAAAGAGCATGCTGTTGGGGATATCACCTGAGCTTATTTTGGGGGGGGGTTGGGTTGAGGCGGGCCCCCCTGAAAATAGATCAAGGTTGGGCCCACGTTGGAGCAACAGGAGGTTGGTGAAATATGACCTTGCATGTAAACAAGGGTTGGCCCTGGCAAACATCAACTAGGCAGAGGTGCATGGTCGAGTCGAGGTCTGAGAAATCATCGGCCAAGTTTACTCAGCCTAAGTTTTGATGTGAAATTTCTGGCGAGGTGAATGTTGAAGGAGAACTATAGGTCACCCTGTCGGAGTTTGCTTTCTGAATCTTTCCGGTTTATGTTCAACCACTTGTCATTTGTTTTGTTTTGGATGGAACTCCGGCTCTTGAACACGGGAAGAGAAGCAGGCAATTGGTGGCCCCGTTGGTGCTGGCTGGTGGTTTGTTGTGTTTTTAGCGCCACCACAAATGCATTGGAGTTGCTAATGTGCTAGGCTTTCTTTTCATCTACCACCGGATTTTCCTTTTAGCCCCTCGATAAGGGGAACAACGTAAACTTCCTGCCAGAAAACCAATCGGTAGTTTCAATTTACCAGACTGCATTTGCTTTTGAACGCACTCCCCTTCACGCGGTAAAATCTAGCGTAGACTTCGGATACAGTCGGCATTTGACTACAGACTCAAATGAAGCAAGCAATAGAGCATGCAACGGGTTGTTTCTATCTCTAGAAATATGTGTATGTATGTGAATATGTGTACACAGTACGCATTTGAAAGGGCTTAGCAATGATCAGGAAGTGAGCTGAACGGTCATCAGCCTTGGAGAGTTCTCGTCGGTTTCGTGTTGGCCATTTATTGTCAAGTAGATTACTCAGCCTGCCATGACCCATGCAAGGAGTGTTTTCTTCCCCTTTGGTAGCAAACAACTGCACCATTCCTCGAATCTGTTTCCAGCTAAACGTAGGAAATATTCACCTAGCTGACGTCAGAGACCTAGCAGGGTCCTTGCAGGAACTGCTTCTTTCAAGCTGGGCAAAGCTTGAAGCTTCACTCTTTTGGCATGGCTCTCACACATTTGCGCTTTCCATAAACAGCTTCAAATGTTTCTATTGCCGGCCCTTTTCGGCAAGCACGAGTGCTTGAAGGAGGCGAAGGTGCGTCTGGGGCAGAAGTCCTGATGTTGATCGTCCTTGACTTATTAGCCGTGTACTTCTCAAAAGACCAAACCCCAGTCCAACTGACTCAACCAGCATATCCAACTGCGAACAACGCGGTGCTAATGATGCTCTACCTTCCTGGCAAGGTCCATCCAGGACTTATTTTTCCCTAAAGCCAGCACGGGGAGTTGGCAGGTTTGGGGCCAGGTAAGGCCAAAAGACCCTGCTTTCGATCTCGGCTTGACAGGACCAGCATGATGATCAAGAACCTTCCTTCAACTCTCTCGGGGCAGGCACTCAAGGATCTCATTGACAATGAGGGCTTCAATGCATCCTATGACTTCCTGTGCCGCGGCGCAAGCAAACAAGATATGTATCCCCAAAGAGAGCGAAGGACGAGTTCTGAATACAGGACGCTACGGAGAGAACAGTTGCTTCCCTTATCCAACCAAAACATCCTTTCGTGGGGGTTGTTCCGAGGCAGGACAGTTTGACCAAAAGCGCAGGTCTACCCTTTTGTCCTTCGGCGCAGAGTAGTTTCAGAGGCATTTGCCAACGAAGTCAGCAGCTATTTGTTTTTGATTTGTCCATTTCCTCTGTGGGTATAACGGACCCTTATATCCTCCCACCTTAGGGGGGATCATGTCTTCCCGCGCAGGGACATGAAACTGCCAACGGAATTCACAGGAGGTTCTCCCCCCCCGCCCGGAGCCATTTCAAGCGGCAAAAGCAAAACCAAAGGACAGGAGTCACTTGTCCATCAAAATGCTCAGACCCGGGTACACAATTTCCGCGCTTGTTCCCAAGACCACCTGTCTGTTCTTGTTTTTTCCAGGTTATCATATGTTCCTCTGATGTTCTCTCCCCCCAGTCTTGGTTCTTTTTAAGTCCCACTGGAACCCGAGGTATTTACCCATGAAGTTTATCAGCAAGCAGCCCTTTGGGTACGCCTTCGTGAACTTGATCTCCGCAGACCTGGCAAGGGACTTCTGGGTCCACTTCGACGGCTTTCATCTCCACGGCTCCACCCTGGCGCTCGGATGGGATGGGATGGTCGTTTGATCAATCCCCCAGTTGCTGGTCAACCTACATGGATGAGGATGTCCGATATCCGAAAAAGAAAGAGAACAATATTTCTCCGCGTTGCTGGATTTAAGCTTTTTGGGAAGACCATTCTACTTGCAGACAATCGGACTTTTTGTGGCCCATGCCCACTCATGAATTTACGATCCCCGAAATCTCTTTTGAATCTATGTTGCACGTTGATGCATCCACTAAATATGTACCAGAGTTATACATATCGTGGTTGGGTGCGGGCAAACGCTGAAGTAGCCCTCTTTTAACCCCCGCCAGGGAGGGGGATTGCAAGTAGACAAGGCAAGCTTCTGCATATGATCATGGCATTATTGACATCGCTATTTATGTGAAAATATTTGATAGTGACTATATTACCATAATTAATGTAAAACATATTCACAGAAAAGTACTGCTAATATAGTACATTAATATGATGTTTAACATAAACCAATTTGTACATATATATACATGAAGAGTTGCATTAGATAGAGCAACTATATAGTTGGAAGTAATGACAGCTTCATGTTTTATGTAATATGTAATATGAAGTAAAATGCTGTTCAGCATATGATATTGAATAGTTGTAACCTACTGAACAGCATTTTGTACTCAGGACATCTGCTGCCAGTGCATGGCCATCCCATTGAACTTCCTTGGGGGTCGGGGAATTTGAGGCTTCCTAAGTGACCCCAGCGTATCGGTACCGAACCTAGCCTGCGAGCCACAGACATAGAGAGGTTAGATTTGGGATAGGGAGGTGCATTGTCTACAGAATTAGTGTGTTCTTATACAAAACAATACAATATTGATTGCCTCATTTGGGGTAGAGTAGTGAACACAATATGCATTGTTTTATTGCGACATGGAGCAAGCGTTAAAAGTTTGCCGGGATTCACTGTTTCACCCTCACTTTTTCGACGCAATGCAGGGGCGCCTGACAAATCAAGAGGATGTGTGTGTGTTTTTTTCTCGTCCAACGGTAAAGCCGCTTTTGTTCCGGCGTCAGGCGATGTCGTGGTCTACGGACATCCAGGGAATTGACCAGCACATTGCGCGGTACCGCAACAGCCCTGTGATGCAGCTTGGAGCCATGGGTTTGTCTTCATGGCAGTGCCAACATTCACATTGGTCCTGCTGCGGTGTTCTTCTCCCTGGTTTGACTTAAGGAATTGTTTTGGCATACCATTGATCTTGCTGGAAGTCTATGGAAAATAGTGAGCGTTTGTGTTTTCGGATTTAGAAGGGACACCCGCACAAAAGCCCAAGCACGTCAACCTGCCCTCTTTGCCAGGCTGAAGCGTTGTGGAACCATATTTGAGTAGTTGGTATCCTGCCATCACCCGAGTCAAGGCTACTATTCAGCAGACTTTCCATTTTCCTATGCCTTGGCCTACATGGGGCTGCCCACAGAAAGCCTTGGTTAGTTTCATTTGAACATCCCTTTGTTCAGGTCCTTTGCGAGAATGTTAAAGTCAACATCCCCACGACCTGACGGAAATGTGCTCCGTTGGCAGTCCTTTTGCCAGCCAGAATGCTTGGGATTACAAGCCCTCTCTCCTAAGATGGCACCAATAGCCTCGGGCGAACATCGAGCTGACTTTTTGCTTTTTGACTCGCGTCTTCGGGTTGCTTTGCCCCAAGGCCTTAGTCCGGGAACCGGACTTTAGAGCAGCGCCCAAAACCCATGGGCCTTTCAAATCATGAAGCTTGCAAGTGCCTCACTACTTCTCGGTGTTTTTTTTGCGGGGGCATTTGGCAAGCTCCCACAAGGCAATGATTTTTTGCTGTTTCACCACCGCCTTTCTGGAAGAACATGCCAGCTATGTCAGTTGCACAAGTTCTGTGACGCTGTGTGTGTGTGTACGTTTGCCTCATGGCCACTAGGTCACTTGTTTGGCTTGATGACAGTATGCTGCTAGGCAACCACTAACAGGTGCTTCAACCCGGCAAGAGTCAGCCTGCGAAGAGTGGCCCGCAATCGTTTGCATTCGGAGTGGTGGTCACAACGCGAATTTGCACCCTGCAAAAGGTTGCAGTCATTGCGGGTCCGAATTTATGCCAGACACAACAAGGCAAACTATTGGCTTACTTGTGGTGTCCCTTGTATGAAAAGTGTTGTTAGTGCTATTTTACAAGCACATCCCTAAAGGCCGCAGCAGTACTACTCAGCGATGGACCCTTCTGGGCCCCAAGAAAACACGAAAACACACCGACTGAGCCACATGAGGGTTTAAAAGACCAACTACGTGGCGCATGGTGACACGGTGCCTTGAGTGGACGCAAACGAGACGTCCTTTTTCCCCAACAGCTGAAAGCTATGGGGTCTTTGCCCAGAGAAGCTCTGGGGTGGCCCGGGACGTCTCCGGGGTAGGTTTCGAGAGGGGTCCGGAACGCACGGGGTTCTGGGTCTCGGAGGGTTCGGGGATGCACTGGGCGATTCCGATTTCTGGGATGGATGGGCCAGGTTCCGAGGAGTGTGCGCAAGGAGTGTCCGCAAATACGCCTCTTAGGGGATGTCACCTGAGCTCATTGTTCGAATAATTGTATGAGCTAGAATTGTGTGATTTCCCTACAACAAGTGTTATTTTTCAATTAGATTTCCCTTGCAAACAACTCAAAACAGGTTTTCTACGGAAACACGAAGCCGATGCTTTTCTCTTTCCGTGCGCGTTTTTCAAGCGAGGCATCCGTCAGTGCCGGAGGAGTGCAAGCCCTGGCTGCTGAAGGAGCTGACTCGAAAGGGACACCCAGTCCGGTGAACTCTTGACG